GGGAAGAATTCTTTACTAAATAGCCATCTGTAACAGCCTCAAATTCACTGGTAAATTAATTGAACTGTTAAAAATAAATAAATAGAATTGTGTATATTACATTATTTAATAAGGATTTTTCTTCCTAACGGGCCACATGCACAAAAACCGACAATTCCAGAGTGTTCCAGTTCTTTGAATGCGCTACTAATGAACCATAACGGTCCTGACCAATTGAAAACTGCATTCAGTTCTTTTCTAACTCCACCAATTTTCGAGATTTTCGATTTTCATACCGCCATCTATCGCTGTAAACCTGTACTAAACTGCTCAAGAATTTTTTAGCAGGTAGCCAACTGTATCAGGTTGACATTCAGTGGTGAATTAGTTAAACTTTTAATATATAGATGTCACAGTCTCCTTTCCCAATAAATACTATTTATTAAATTTAAACTAATGATTTTTCTTCTTCATGGGTCACTTGCAGAAAAACTGATCATCCCAGCGTGTTTAGCGATCCCAGATGCATACGGAACCGCTTTGGGAAAAGCAATTTTTTTAAAATACTCATCGATTTTCTCAAAAAGAAGAAAATAAAAGAGACGGTATATTAAGTAAGATTATGTTAGATTAGTTCGGATTTGTTGTCAAAGGAAAGCGGCTAATATTTAACAGTTGGCAGCGGTGCAGCATAAACATAAACGTTAAGTTCAGATTTACTGTTCACTGGTTCATTCTGTTTATTGGTATTTCTAGAAATTTAATTTTGAATGTCATGTCCAGGGAGACTAGATAAGGAGCACAAACTCATACGGGAAAATTGACAAAATTTGTCCAAGAAATGGCAGAAGTTGGGGTGGCGCTAGTGTTCCATATGTCCGAAATGAATGTAGCATAATAAATACGAGTGAAGTAAGCAAATATCAACCAATTTTATTTTATATTGAGTTTAGTAGATATATCGGGGAGGTATATTAACCTAAAAACTAGAAGTCAAGTCAATAATTATTACAATTTGTTTTTATAATGGTAAATAAAAAGTTTCGAAAATAATTTAAATATGGTAATAGTATGTGAAGTGAATGACTGTCAACAGATTTTAAATAAAGCAGTACGTTTGTGATCTGCATTTTCAATCTAATGATGTCCAGCAGTTCTATATTACAACTTGACCGAATAGTGAGTTAATATTATGGCAAAAGGTCGAATAATTCGGAAGTTGGAAGCAGCTTATTTGATTCTTAATAAGGTAGAGAAATTTTTAAATAGAAAGATTTCATAAGAGAAAATATTGTATAAATGAATGATGCATTGTTTCTTTATATATCTTGCAGCAGCATCAACAGCGAGAGCATCCGCTACACCAGCAACAACAGGTGCAGCAGCTACAACAAGAGCAACAGTTACAACAACAACAACAACAACAACAACAACAACAACAACAAGAACAGCAAGTAAATCAAGAGCAATTAAGTTACGATGAGATTATACTAGAAAGTGAGCATCCTGTCCTGTATAATCTAATAAAAGAAATGTTCTGTTGACGTGTGATGAGGTCTCGACAAAGCAACGATGAATATGTTCACATAATATTAACAACAGCAACAAAGTATACTTTATTTATTTCTACATATTCTTGTAATTTATATTACGTGCATAAATAATTAAATTGGTATCTTTCATATAATTCTTGCTGGTGACATCGTTATCATTACTGAATTGAATAAATCATTTCCAATTAGTTGCTGTCTCTTTCCTGTTAGTAAAAAAACTGATTGAAATTCAGATATCATATAAAATTTAAAGAGAGGATACGTGTAGTAATCGATGCTGATCGATCTGTATTGGTAATTGACTACTTTTACTAAATATTTAAACATGGAAATCAATTGCTTCATGAACAAAATGAAATTTTAAGAAGATAGACAAGTATTACTTATTTTTAAGAAGAGTTCCTGTTTTATTTGCAATATATATTTACTTTGTTACTTGTTTGTTATGAATAAATATTTTATTTTAATTAGGCACAAATAATTTCGATTTTTTTATTCAATTAATAAAACATTGAAATCTTTGGTAGATAAACATTTTATTTTTACAAAATTTTGAGAGACATCTCATTCTGACCTTCAAAAGAAACAGTTCCAAATCTCTTCTAAAGAAGAGAGCGATATAACTCTCGAAGCATTGAGAAGCCAAAACCGACAACATGGCAATCAGCTTAGAAATTGTCCAACCATAATTTATCGACTTTCCATAGTCAGTTTTCAGTTACACTAATATAGTATATTATTGGTTATTCAAAAAAAATATGGATTGTGATATACCCTATCTTATATGAATTGCTTTCCCATCAATTATTCCTATAACCTCTGGAAATTCATATTGGGCAAAATATTGTTCGATTACAACTGCCTAATTATCTCGGCCATTCTATTCTATAATTTGTGGAGACAAGTTACTTAGCAAGTATGTAACTTTTCTGGTTGTTGTAGAGCTTAAGGCAATGCAAAATTTACCAGAATCATGGGTGAAATAATTAGAAATGGCAAATTTTTCTTCAATTCTGTTAGCTACTTCCCTGATGCTAACACGTAAATGTTAAAAAAACTTGGCCACTATATTCAGGTACAGTAATTTCAAAGTAGTTCTTATTTTTTACTATTTCTGTTTCTTAGAGTAAATCTATTTCATCATCACTCAAGCTGGACAATGCGTCTAATAAGTCATCTGAATCACTGGACTTAAAATCGGACATCTGTAATATTTTAAAAAGTTTATTGAAAACGCCGAGTTTTTTTATATTCTATTTTTTATTACCACAAGTAAAAATTCTATATTAATAATACAAGAATTAGGTACTATTTTTTTAAAGGGAACTTCCTGTATAAAATGTGACTATTTTTTACTAACATTAAACTAAAATCTTTAACAAAGTAATTATCAAAAACATAAACCTTACTTATAGGTTAATATTAACAAGATCACGTCATAAATTCCTTGAAAACTAGTTTCTTTCTATGAACACCAAATTCTTCTCATAAAGCTAATATTTTTTATTATCATTTAGTTTAATTACAGTCCGGAATGACATATTTTCATGATTTATATAATTCAAAGTAGCTTACATTATTTATTTTAAAATTTTTAACACATTACAAAAATGACATGATTGATTTATAATTCAAACTGCCGCTTTTTATCTCCCCTCTCTACATATGGGACATATGGAACACTAGCGCCCTCTTATTTTTGTAAGATTTTTGTTTACATGGAGTTCGGGCTCCTTGTATAGTCTCCATGGTCATGTCATTAATGTAAAATAAATACCATTATAATAATATGCGGGGCTGAACAAATTAAAACCATTGGCTTTATAAAATGATATACTAGTGAAAAGGTTCCGTTTCAGTACAAATAAGTTTGTCATATTCAATGCCTACTGCCACAAAGTATTGCTATATACCTGACAGAAAGATGTTTCCCAATTCCCATAATATCGTCAGTTAACTTCCACCTTTCACATGGAATACAATGAAGCGCAGATAAGAATAATAATATAAAATATTTTCATTTTTTTTTGTAAAGTTACTTACTGACAGCTCAGAAATCTCAAACTAGTAATTAAATAAGTGCACCTGTACATGAAAAAATCAATTAGCTGATAAATTATATCAACAATTTATTTGCATTTTGGCATGAAACATCAAAAATAACATTAACACTAATACGTTAACTTTTATTTAAAAAATAAATAGGATTATTTGCCTTCCCGTTTGGCTCTCATGGCAGGTATGTTGCAAATAGTCAGAAAAGGTACACTCAAATACCAAATAAATTGCACAACTCCATGCATCAACTTTGCTCCTTTAGATATTTTTGTTGTCGGCGGGCCGGAAACCACATTACCCTGTCTCATCTAAAAGTAATAACTGTATAAAGGTTAAAGTACATGGGACAAATAAGCTTCTTTTCGGCCACTTGGCCACTTCAAATATCATTTTCCCTGTTTATTTTTGCGGAAAGATTATTTTCGGATTTATTCTTCAAAAACAAATTTTAGTTACACTTGGCTAGCGCTGGAAAAAGTCGACACGTGCGGACACAGTTCAAATCACAGAAAAACAAAAAATAAGCAGCTTCTAGAAGCTGTCATGTACTTTATCATAATTTTATCATATCATTTTTTTGGGGGCACGTAATAAGCGAAAAATGTCTGTTAAATCACTGAAAAATAATATAAAAATTAATTGCTAATAAACTTTAAATCTTGAAATTCTTTAACACTCAAAACTACCTATACTAACTATACTATACTACCTAGTACGACGTAAATAAAAATGTAATCATTACTTTTACCACTAGTTCTGAAAATGTTCTAATTTTTGTTATACGATTAATATTGAATATTAAAATACAATTTTATTTAGCGAAGGACTCACCATGATTGCTTCTTAAAAGATTAGAAGAAATATGTATCTAAAAATTGATCTTAATTGATACTTGACAGCTAAACAATGAAATCATTTGGCTTCTCATAATCACGGGTATTAGGATTTAGCAAACTATGATTGTTACAGAATATTTAACAACATCGCAAAATTGATTTGTTAGACCGCGAGCTCTCTTCATCGTTTTGATACAATAATTCAATTCAATTCATATATTAACTTTGTTGCTAGTGCAATTAAAATCAGTTTCCCACAGTCAGACACAATCGCATTTGACTCGATACAATAATTTAAAATTTTGAATCATGTATTAAGCACTATATCGGAATGCGCATGACTGTTGAAACTGTTTTGAATTGCTGTGGACTGTGCGTGGATATGTTGATTGTAGTTTGTACAATGATTGTAATTGCTGAAGAGGAAGAAGAAAAATGTGATAGTGTATTTTAGCTAAAGGCTAAACATCCCCTTGGATGAAGACAAAAAAAAATAGTAGAAGAAGAAAGGCTAAAGATATATCACCTAATTCCAGTTGCCGACAATGCCGACTGACAGCTGTGGTATTGACAATTGACATTATTATTGACAATAAAAATTGAAATTATAAAATATTTGCATTGTAATATGACAGTAACGAAGCTGTTTGATATCAAATACAAAAATGATTAAAAGAAAAACTGTTCTATTGTTAAAATCTCAGAATACTGACGCCTCTTCAGATAAATACGAAGATTTGCTGACAACAAACGGTTTTGAGGTTAAGAAAGTCAAAACTTTGGTATTCGATTTTAAAAACATTCAGGTCTTAAAGGAGAAAATAATAAACAATGAAGCTTACGAAGGAATTATATTTTCTAGCCCCCGCTGTGTCCAAGCGGTTTATTTAGCCCTTCAGAATGATAAAAATGTTATTAAAGCGTGGCGTGAGAAGTATAACTTTGCTGTCGGAGAAGCTACCTACACAGAGGCTTTAAATAAATTAGGTTTGGAGTGCGATGGTAAAGGATCTGGGAATGCAGTAAATTTGTCAAAAGTAATTTTAGAAAGTAGGTAACTGAAGTTGAAATTATAAAATATCGAACAATCTTGTTACAGAGAAATCTGCTTACCGTAAACCTTTTTTATTTCCACACGGGAATTTGAAGACTGACACATTAAATTTGGAATTAGGAAAGGAAGGAATTGAAATTAAAGGTGTTTTGGTATATGACACTATCGCAAATCCAAGCATTCTAAAGGAAATATCGGATGTAACGGACGATTTAACAAGTATACCAGAATATGTGGTATTTTTTAGTCCATCCGGATTTCACAGTTCAATAGATCATCTTAGAAAGATTCCTGTTGACTTGAATAAGGTTAAGGTGGGCATTTAAGAATATAAGCATAGCGAGATGGTGTAAAAATTATTTTAGTTTGTAGCTATCGGACCCGTTACCGAATTGGCAATTAAAGAAGATAATTATGAGGTTTATGGAGTGATTAAGCAACCAACGCCAAAAGATCTTTTAGATTTACTTTCAAAGGACTGAAATTACTATTTCAGCACATCTATTTGTATATTTTTTTATTAGAAACAAAATTGTTACTTGTTCAATTTTTATTGATTGTTTTGTCAGCTATAATTCATTATGTACTATTTTAAGTGTTCTTCATTAATAAAAATCAACCAAATGCCTTGTGCAATGTTGCAAAAATCTTTTTAGACAACTTAAAACCATGCTGAACGTATAAAAAATGTTTAAATTTACCAGTACTGTCCCATACGCTAATATTTAGCTAAAAAACAATATGATTCCTTACAAATAATTAAAAATTATACGAAAAATAAAAAACAACACATGTAAATAATTTATTACAAAATTACAAGAAAATGATTTTATGAAAATTAGAACTCTTTTTTTTTTAGAAGTCAATAGAACAAATAATAATGTCAACTAATCAATAATAATACGTATTATACCAATAACATCCACGCCAAGCACTGCGCTGGCAAACCAAAGTGAACTGCGTTCAACACCAAACTAATTATAGAATACTATGCAAAAAATTATTTACGACCTAGTGGACCAATACAGGTTCGCTTTGACGACCAGTGCACCATCGTCGATTCTACATCAGGCAGACTGGTCTACCAATACCGGACTCGCCCAATGGCTATTTGAGTATAAATTATGAGACAGATCATGGCTAAAGCATAGGAAGAAATTTCAAGATAAGTGCAGATGGTCCTGTGTTTTTCTACAATTAAAATCGATAACAAATCACTTAAATTACAAATAATCATAGTCACTGTGCATCGGGCAAAGGGCAGCTGGATTTATTTGAACAATTTGCTATTTATCAACAAAGCACGAATAATGCTTGGAGTGTTGAAATCGGCTTGAAGGCTGATACTGATTAGCCGAATTCATAATCCAATATTTTAGCTTTATTTTACTTCGGTATTAAAGTCAGTTTGGTCTAGAACTTTGACGGGGATGCATCTGCACAAAGTTTTTTAACTTTATTTAATTTCAGTGCAGTATGTTAGCTGCAGAACTTCAATGGTGAAATGTCCCTCGTTGGAACGAAGATTTTTAACTTTATTTAATTTCAATGGAAAGTCGGTTAGCTTTGAACCCTCGACGAGGAAGTTTCATGCATCATAACAGAATAATTTCGGTTTTATTTTACTTTAATATCAATCAGTGTCGTTCGATTCTTCAAAGGGGAAACATCGCCTATTGTAACGAAGACTTTGTAGTTCAATCATCTGTAACGGCCTAAAGTTAAATTTGCAAAAAATAACACCTGGAAACAAAAAAATATGGCGATATAGTAAAAAAAAAATCGAAGATAGTGTTTTTTCCTTTGGCGCATAAACGGCAAAGTTAACCTAAAAAATTCATAAAAGTAAAAAAAACTTGACCATTCGAAAAAAGTTAAATGAGAAAATTGTAGCTATAAAAAAAAACCTATCGATTCGTATTTTTAAATATATCAATTGCTATATTTGCAAGTTAGCTCGCGTCGTGCTCGAATGCTTCGGTTTGACAGTATTTTTTTATTGAAAATATGTCTTCAACTTCAATCTCTGTAAGAATGGACGCTGTAGCACTTAAGTAGCGGCCTGTGCAATTTTTTGAAAAAAAAAAATTATCGCTCCAAAAAGTCGTGAAGCTATTTTTTTTTTTAAATTCGCGTGAAAATGTCAGCAATCAATTCCTGTTATAGGCATTATCGAGAAATCAAAATCGAAAAAGATATTCAAGAAAATCGCAACCAAAAAATTTTTACTTTTTTCAGTCATTTTTGGACACTTGAAATTAATAAAATCGTTATTACTCTTTTTCACCATGAAAGTACAACTCTTAAGGAAGAAATGGGCAATGATTCGTTTCTCTGTGACTATTCATCGAGCAAGAAGAGCCGATTTTCGAGACCACTTTTTTTTTTAAATCGATAAAACTTGAAAAATTTTTAATTTAAAAAAGCACTTTTTTGGCTTGCCGAGGGCTACATTTACAGCAAGTAATAAGTTTCAAAACCTTAATTTGCAAGAGATACAGCAAAAACAAAAAAGGTCGATTTTTTACGGTTTTTTCGATATATCCCGAAAAGTAATATAGCAGTCGATATATTTGAAAATATGAATCGTTTTTTTAATAGCTCCAACTCTCTCATTTAACTTTTTTCGATTGAAATTCGTTTTTTATTGGTGAAAAAACTGTTTTTTTGATTTTTATGAATTTTTTAGGTTAACTTCGCCGTTTATGTCCACAGGAAAAAAACTATCTTTTTAGAATTTTTTTCCCTATATCACCATATTTTTTGTTTCCAGGCGGTATTTTTTGTAAGCTCTTCTACCCATTCATTGATTGGACTTTTGTTTTTATTTTATTTCGGTACCAAGAAACACTAGGTGATAAGTTGTCGGGGCACGGCTCCAGCAAACTAGTCACCAAAAGAATTTGTTAAAGTTTCCCAAAGTCTTATTTTTTTTAGGAAGAATATAAGAATAATTTTTATTGTAAAGGCAAATAAAAAGAATTCGCAGTGTAATTTTCATTACACTTAAATATCATACGCCCAACATAGGAAATACAGGGTGCCCCAAAATTCATGCAACAAAATTTGGTCACGGATTCTTAAGACAAATTTAGGGGACCCGTATTTTTTATTTTTGCCAAGTGGCCCCGTCTTTCGGAGTTACAGCCCCCTGAAGCCCCTAAAATTAATCTTTTTTTTATATCACAGAACCCTGTTCTACAAGAATCACTAAATTTGGTACACAAGGGTTTTGTGACATGTGGAATCTGATGGTGCTACGTTTGTTGGCGGGGAACACCCTTAAGACAATTTTTCGCGGGCCCCCTTGTCTTTGGAGCCAAAGAAATTTGGTCGTATATTTAAATTTCTTAAAAATTATCAGTCCACTAGAAAGCCATTAAATTTAGAAACTTTTTGCCCCTTTATACTTTTTTCGTAAAACGTAATGTTTTCGAGAAAAATGTCAAAATGTGATTAAATGCATATCGTGAATCGCCATTTTCCTCAAAAACATTGCGTTTTACGAAAAAAATTATCGAGACAAAAAAGTTTTTAAATTCAATGGTTTTCTAGCTAACTAATAATTTAAAAAAAAATCAAATTTGCAACCAAATTTTTCTGGTTCCAAAACAAGGGGGCCCACGAAAAAGTGTCTTAAGGGAGTTTCTCGACAAAAAGTGTAGCACTGTGAGATTTCACATCATAAAACCCCTTGTACCAAGTGATTCTAGTACAACTTGGTTTCGAGATATAAAAATGGGGCAGATTTCAGGGGCCTGTTACTCCGAAAGAGGGGGCCAGTTGGCAAAAAGAAAAAATAGGGGTCCCCTAAATTTGCCTTAAGAATCTATGACCAAAGCAAATCCGGATCATCGTCAATATTGTTCATCCGAGATGGTCCTTAAGCAACTTTGGCAGTTGTTCCGCACACTGGACGTCCGATGGTTCGTGCGTTTGTGCTCAGGATTGAAACATAAGTTCGATTTCGAGGCTATCGAACCACAATAACAACAAATTTTTTTTTAAACCTTATATTTCTGGATAAAAAAATTCAGATATGCAAAAAACAAATTTTTCGAAACTTTCTTTTTAAATTTAAAAAAATAAGAGTTTCCACAGCAGCAGAAAAAGTAATTTTATTGCACTTTTTCAAATTAATGCCGCTTATAAAAAAAAAAATTTCTCAAAAGGCCCTTGTAGATTATCGATTCAGGTTTCTAAAACCCATTATCCGTTCGCTGTACGATAAATAGTTCATGAAATATCGATAAAAAAAAAGGTGACTTTTCACTCAACACCCGATATCTCGATGAGAAATACTCATACAGAAAATAAAATAAAACCAAATTGAAGCCAATGAATCAGACTACATGACGCTAGCATTGATTAAGCCAGAAAAATTTTCTGACCATGAGTAGATATGAAAAAAAAATTTGTAAAATTTTTACCTTGCATTATTTCTTTTGATTGCGCCAAGTGATGCTCAAAAAAATTTTTCATCTCAAGATTTTAAAAGTAAAATCTTCGAGCTTTAAGATGCTTCTTTTTTTTTCTCGATAAGACCATTATTCACGAAGTTATAGCCTTTCAAAAATCACTAAAAAAAATTTGGAAATTTTTCAGCTCCTTTAATTTTTTTGCCGAGTTCACAATGCGACATGGCGCCCAATGTGGGGCAAACATGTAACTACATAATAATAATAATAATAATATGACGACATATTTTTTTGTAACTTTCGATTATCCATTTGTGAAACTAAACAACTTTCTCGGAACTTACCTTGTCGCCGTCGCAGCTAATAGTTCATCGGCTGTGAGGAAAATAACTCTCTCTTTACAATAAATAAAATTATTATTGTCAAAAATGTTTATATACACGTATAATTACACCGAGGAATAACAAATTGTGATAAATTTTATCCATTTAATTATCACAGTTTACAATAGTTTTCACAATAAAATTATAAACGCAAAAATCTTAGTACTTAATGATTCTTCATAAAAAAAAGCTACTCTATCAGGGACCTTTTAGGCTTTCAAAAGGCACACAATAAAATAACTCTAAAAGCAATTTATCTACAATTCAGTACTCTTAAAAATAATATTACGTAAAATAACTTAGAAAGATTGTCGATATTTGTTGACTTTGTGATAGAGGGCTTTTACGGATTCCGAATCGTCCTGATCGTCCCTCAGGTAATATAGCCTCAGTTTCTTCTCAGAGTGGCATTCCAAAGTGCCCCATTTTTGGAACACCTTCAACGCATTTTTTATTGGATCGACAGAGATGCTTTCATCTGAAAATGCATTCCACTATTAGAATTAACTACGTACTTAAATCGACTTAAAAATATTCTTTCGATGTTTTAGATTTATCAATGTTGTTTTTTTTTATTTAATTTGAGGAATTTGAATTGGTTTCAAAAATTCAACGGAAAGTTCTAATTTTCTAACTACTGGATCAAATGATTGCACCCGAAAAAGGGGTCTCATTTTCTTATTAACTTCTAATTAAATTTTGACACTATTTTTTATTAATTACACAGGCGGACAAAATTTTATGAAAGTTCAGAACCAAAGACCGGATCTAGTGTGCCCAAAGGAGTTTGGAGTCGCTGATTACCTTCCAAAAATCTGAAAAAATTCATGGACATGTTTTTGAGGTCGCTGAATCCGAATCCGCCGTTTATTTTTACTTTGCGTGCACTCTCGAGGTCATTCAAGGTCATCTCAAGGTCATTTTGGATGTGGATTCTAGTCATTTTCCAAAGAATCTGGTATAAATCTCTATTAATGCATTACATTGTAGCAATCTCAATCTGCGAAATGCACAATTGTGCCACAGAACTAGAATACCTGCCTTGAGTTGACCTTGAATGACCTCGAGAATGCATGCAAACTAAAAATAAACACCGGATTCAGCGACCTCAAAAACATGTCCATGAATTTTTTCAGATTTTTGGAAGGTTTTTTGACCATTTGACCTTCAAATGACCTCGAAATGAGGTCGACTGACCTCAGATTCAGAGTTCTCGAAAACATACATATGAATTGAAGATTTTTCGGATGGTACTTAGCATTTTGTCTCAAAAACCCCTCAAATGACCTTGAGATGATCTTGAATGACCTCGAGGATACATGCAAAGTAAAAATAAACACCGGATTCGGATTCAGCGACCTCAAAAACATGTCCATGAATCAGATTTTTGGGAGGTTTTTTAACCGTTTGACCCTCAAATGACCTTGAACTTGAGCCTAACTGGCCCGCTCATCGTAATCAGCGACCCCAAAAACCCTAGAATACCATCTTCGGTTCCCGTGCACGTGCCTAGATAAAATGTTGACCTGTGTTTATTAATCCAAGTTCAGAGCTCCGAGCTAGGTTCTCGAGATATTCTAACCTAAAAGTGCAAAAATCACGGTTTTTTGCTATATTCGGAGTCAGATTACGTGAATAATTTTTTTTGTAGCAACATGGAAATAAACAAAATTTATCCAAAAACGAGATATAGATTTTTGCACATTTAAGTTAGAATATCTCGAGATATATCTCTGGGCTCGGATTCATAAATCAGCGCATCAAAATCCTTCGGGTACACTAAGTACGGTTTCTGGTTCTGAAAATTGTCAGCCTGTGCTGTAGGTTTTCCCCCAATAAGGAAACTAAAATAGTAATTTTCTATTGAAATCTCAGTTTTCACATATACAAGGTGTAATGGTGTAAGAGAACAATGAAAATTGAAACACCCTGTAGCTTGTGTCAGCTAAAACATCAAATGTTTAGCTCCATCTTTTCTAAAGAACTTCTTTTGTGATTCACATTTAGCTTATAAAGTCAGTAAAGCTCAATTCATATCAATACGATTTTCGAGACAAATGTTGCGGTTTGTGGTAAACAAGTCAGAGCTTTCAAAATCATTGTGTATTAGTAGAAAGTGTTTCATTTTAATTAAAGGATCTTTGTACAAAATCGAAAATTTAACATTAATTAATTAATTTGCCGCTTTTGAACAAGCGACATCGTAAATTACAAATTTCTTTACACCCAAAAGTTATTTGAGTTTCAAACTAAGTCCATTTTATAGAAAATCTTCGTTAAAATGGGGGAAAGTCTCTTATTTATGCATCGATTCATATTTAGACAAACTGTGTAATAAAATCTATAAAAATGTATTACTGGTTGGCTATCTGCTATAGAGCCCTCTTCAAATCACCGATTTTACACTAAAACAATTGTATTCCACTTACCATACTTAACCGTTCCCAAACTAAGCTGCATCTTCAGTTCATCAAAAATATCTTTAATAAGCTCGCTTTCAAGCAGCTGCCTTCCCACCAGCTTGTCCAAAGCGAAAGCCGTTATAGAGTACGATTCGACAAGAGGCATCAAGATCCCCCTCAGGTACGATAACGTATCGACCGCCGATTTGTTCGGGTTCACCTTGTACACCTTCTCCGGATACTGCTCTTCTTCACCGTCATCCACCAACTGCCTAGCTAACTTCCGACTCCTCACGTTTAATTCAGTGTCCTCCGCGTCATCCTTGAATAAAAAAAAATGGGTGTTCTAAATCAGGAGAGCGGGGCGGCCATATTAAAGGGGTTTTTTGGAATCGTTCATAAGTTTTGTTGAAAACTATGAATTGTACTTGGTTTCAAAATGACACAGTAATAAAAATTTATTACAAGGTGTCCCATTTTAGTGTACCAGCCCTCGACTTTCATAAATATTTCAAACAACTTAGATTTTTTAAATGGATACCCATATTTTTATTACAAGAAGCCTTTTCAAGAAAAGTTTCATATAAAAGTTACATATTTTTTCACGCAAAACATGAAACTGTAATAAAAATATGGGTTTCCATTTAAGAAATCAAGGTTAAACTTGAAATGACCTTGATAATTGAGCTTAAGGTTAATTTCAAGGTCATGGTAACTTGATCCTCCTAAACCTGACAACTTTTGTCAGGAATATCTTTCACTATCCTGCTTATTCCTCGAGATATCAGCCTGAGAATTAAAATCGAACAGGAAAAGTATAGCGCACTCTGGCGACAGAACAAAGCATTTTCAAAAAAAGTGTTTCATACAAAAGTTACATATTATTTCACACAGAATAAGAAACTGCTATAAAAAATATGAGTTTGATTGACTTATCTATTATCGAAGTAAAATGTGTACTCACCACTAAAAATATCTGCTTCCTAATAACTAAATCATCGATACAACTACTAACGACTTGCTCCAGGCTTTGGCACGGTTTGCAGAACAAAAATTCGTACTGAAGTATATCACATAAATCCAAAACGTTATCCACCAGATCCTGTTGGACGACGCTCCCCGAGGACTTGTCCAAAGCCCCGATCGCAATCGCCACTATAGATTCCAGCGCGAAATGAGGCACCACCGTGTTGCTGTAGTACGTCAGTTCGATGACGTTCGGCAGGATGGCGATCGGTTTGATAATCTCTTCGTTGTTTGTTCTTTCCTTACGTACTAATGCAGGTCCCAACATATCCACCTAGAATGGATATAATCCAAAAGTTAAGCTGTTGTAAGTGGAAAGTTTTACACGATTTTTGGAAATTGGCATTTTTATAGATTTTGAGTGATGCAGTGATGAATTGATATATTAGTATACGGGGAGTGTTGCCGAAATGCTGCCATAGCATCACGGTGTGCCAAGTACTTTCCTTTACGATGTAGGTTTCTTATGTTGTAATATGCTGGAAGATATAAGCATCCTGTTGAAGGAGATCCAACAACGGACTAAATGTATGGGCTGGTCTTGTTAAACGGTTGGTTTTTGAACTGTATTATTGGGATCATGGTTATCTCTTAGAGATAAAAGGTTGATCAAATTAGGGTAAAGCTGTGAAATTAGATGAACAATAACTTGCTGAAGAGAAATTTGACCTACTTTTTTCGTTTTGAAGTTGCCGTTAAAATACTGGAAATATTGATTTTTTTTAATATAAAAATGAAAAGAGGACGTTTTAAATATAGTCATAGTTAGAACATTCTGAATTGCGAAATTCAGAACATGTTACCAGCTTTTGTTCTTATGGGTTGTTGGATTTTCGCATTTCTAATCCGGACTATTTTTCTGATTACTATGTTGAGTCATAGATGATTTACTCTTTCGTTTTCGTCAAATTGGGCAAATTATCCGTTTTTACAAAGACTGACTTGAAAGCAAAACATTCAACTATTATCATTGACAACGCAACCACCAAAAAAAAACAAAGTTTTTCCAGTGTCAAAATTGAGCTATCACATCACAGGAATTTCCTAACCTCAAAAAACAGGTCAAAAATAGCAAACATTCGCAAAGTGCTAGAAAAAATACTCCGAGATCAGATTTACAAAAATCGTTTTTAAACTTAACCAATTACCTATGTACTTTATTATCTGAGATTAGGCAGAAAACCCGTGAATAGATCTTTTGCAGAAAAAAGAACAAGATATAGCCGAAAAAAAGAAGGTTAGACCATGATTGGGTACTCAGGTTATAAAGTAAACAAAAATTGTGACGTCAAATTCGTAATCAGCGACCCCGAAAACCCCCGTATATCAAATTTGGCGCGAATCTGTTATTTTTTGAAAATTTGGTGCCATCTTGGATCCGAAATCTTGAATTTTGCAAAATTGATCTCGGATTCGGTCTTGTTCTTTTTTCTGTAAAAGATCTATTCACGGGTTTTCTAACTAATCTCAGGTAGGTAATAAAATGCATTGATTAAATTTTTAAAAACGAATTTTGTAAATCTGATCTCGGATTCGTGATCAGCGACCCCGAAAACCCCCGTTTACCAAATTTGGCGCGAATCTGTTATTTTTTAAAAATTCGTGATATCAGATCTTGACGTTTTTTTTTTTTTGAGGTTAGAAAGAGAACCATCAATTCTGACCCCGGATTCATGTTCGGCGGGGTCTTAACTATATAAATGAACATTTGAATATAGAAAAACTTTTCCTAGCACTTTTTCGCGAATATTTGGTAGTTTTGACATTTTTATTTGAGGTTAGGAAATTCCTGTGATGTGATAGCTCAATTCTGACATCGGATCGTGATCAGGAGGTACAAATACTACGGATAACATATGTCGCATGAAGAGTACAGACAACTTTTTTTTTGTGTATAATGCCGCAGTTTAGATAACTACAAATGCAAACTGCATGAAAAGGAGCAGGATTTGCATGCTTCATATTTACTGATTAAATTTGAAGAATAATTTAAGTTAAGTTTGACATACGAAAATTTAACCGAACTGTCAAAATTTTATTGCAATAGTCGACTGTTTTGTTTTCAAAGCACACTTTGCACAGATGAACAATTTGATGTTTCAACAAAAACAAAGAAACGAACTATATCATGACACACATCATAGCAATCAGAAAAATGAGCTGAATTAAAAAAATGCAAAAACCCCACTTTTTGCCGCAATCTTTACATAACAATGGATTTTTTGCAAAAAAAACAATTAAAGATTTCAAGCTGAAATTTGAAAAGAACTCAAAATCTATAAAACTGCTAAGTTTCCGAAATCTCGTAAAACTTTCCACCTTACATTATGTAACTCCTGGATAAATATGCATGAGCTCTGAAATACTAATTTACTTACAGCATAATTAATGACATCTAACGAGTCTCCGGAGAAGCCTATGTCTCTCCCGGCGTACTCCAGTTCCTTCCTTAAATTATCTAAAGTGTTCACTAATTCTTCTATACTAGCGCCCTCTCTGTGTTTCGTTAACAGCAGAAACGCTAATGCGTTTGTGGACATGATGCATGTCGACTGAGCACAATCTAAAAAAAGACATAGCTCGATGTTACATCACACGTTCCTAATGCACTTCAATAACTTCTTTGTATTTGCAATATTGACTTCAGAAAAAAATAATAAATACAAAGTATATGTCATCTGTCTGAAATGACATTGCTACTCACTGACTATTAGCACAAAGCATTAATTTGTATCTAACGGCAAAGAGTGATCTACAAATCTGTAGGTGCTAAGAAAGCATGATATGTTTCGCATTGAACTTTGATATTGTCGGAAAAAACTGCTTTGACGGCTGGAGCATGCAGCTCAAAGAGTAGTGGTTCTGATCGATGATCTTAGTTGTTTACTAAATATTGTGTGTAATTCAACGCTGGATGGAACTATAGTTCCCAGAGTAGTTGTTTCTCACAATGCTATTAGTTCACAACGAAGCTCCAATGTCAATATCTCACTTTGTTGATAAATCTTACACTAACAAGTAGTTCTAATAACAAACTACGACAAAATGAAATATACTTTTTTTTTTGGACAAAAGGATTGAAAATTAAAAAGAGCAAAACACGTGTTAAATGTCGTATGAAAAGTTTTAAAGAAAAATTGTTTAAAAAACAATGGGAAACGACATTATTTCATTTAATACAAAAAAAATCGCATTAATAGATTGAAATTCAAGTTAAAAATAAAACCTTATTAAAAAAAAATGTGACAAAAACAATTCAGGAAACAAACAATGTATACTTACCATAAATAATGTGTTTTGATATGCTTTCTACTAGAGTTTTAAGTTCCTCCGATACAATATCAGTACCGTATAAACTAGTGGTAGACGGATTGGATTTCAGTGTTTTCTTAACTCCGTTGGGTGTCATTTTCCCACTCATATTGAACGTCTTCACCAGCTCCTAAAATTCAAATTTATTTTTATAGTAGTCGCTCTCTAAAATTAAACGACTTTAATGCTAAAGAACATTTAATAGTCAAATTATTTATGAATAACGTCAATTGATTAACATCTGGAGCGACATGGACATTTCTAAATTTACATTCTTTATATGCCAGCATTATACTTTATTTTACTGCATTTATGGCTTAAAAGATAACAACACTGCAATACTCCATATTTTGCCAAATATGACATACAATGATCAAAATATGGACTGACATATTTAAAAAATTATTTTTACTTTCTATAAAACATCTAATGCTTTATTCAATTATCTGTAGTGAAATATGTATGGCTTAGTGAAAACTGACAACAATACGACGCCTGGATATTACCAAAAATGGCAGATAACAATGAAAAAAATATGGCCGGCACAGATATTTTTAAAACCTTTATTCTCTATAAAACGGCCAATAATTTATTTGAATATTTATGGTTTAGTAAAAATTTACAACATATGATATTGCCCAATATGACTGATCACGAGGATATAAAAATATGGACTGATAATTATTTTTTAAAAACAACTGATAAATTATTGGACTGCAGTGGAATATGTGCGATTTAGTGAATAATGACAACATTGTGATATCTACATATAGTCAAATATGGCACATAATGAACAAAATATGGACTGACATACATATTTAAAAACGCCAACATTGGATATTTCTAATTATGGCAGAAAACGAAAAAAATATCGACTGTCAGAAATATTTTTAAATTTCTCTCTATTCTCTCTCAAACAGCCTATAGTCCATTTGATTGCAGTGAATTAATATTTATGGCCTAGTGAATAACGAAAATATTATAACAGCATATTGTCAAATATGGTATTCATTGTTATAATGAACAAAATATGGACTGCCAGACATTTTTAAAGCAAGCAATCAAGCAACTGATACGTTATTTGGTTGCAATGAAATATTTACCGCTTTGCAAACAAAGCCAACATTATGATACTTGCATGTCAAATATAGCATATAATGAAGAACAAAATATGGACTAAACATTTTTAAAACATCAATCTCTATCAAACAGCTGATGGTTTATTTGATTGCAGTGGAATATGTATCACCTAGTGAATAATGACCATATTATTATGACACCTGTATATTGTCAAATATGGTATACAATGATGAATAAAATATGGAGTGACATAATTATTTAAAAATCTAACTTTAACACTCCTACACTGATGTTTTATATGATTAAATTGAAATATTTAAGGATTAGCGAAAAATGACATTACAAAACCTAGATATTACCAAATATGGAAGATAATGAACAAAATATGGACTAAACATTTTCAAAACATCGATCTCTATGAAATGGCTGATGGCTTATTTGATTGCAGTGGAATAAGTATGACCTGTGAGTAATGACAGCATTATGTCACCTGCATATTGTCAAATATGGCATGGAATGATGAACAAAATATGGAGTGACATAAATATTTAAAAATCTACCTTTACACTCCATAAAACAGCTGAAGTTTTATATGATTACATAGAAATATTTAAGGATTAGCGAAAAATGACATTACAAAACCTAGATATTACCAAATATGGGAGATAATGAATAAAATATGGACTAAACATTTTCAAAACATCAATCTCTATCAAACAGCTGATGATTTATTTGATTGCAGTGGAATATATATGACCTAATGAATAATGACAACATTATGTCACCTGCATATTGTCAAATATGGCATACAATGATGAACAAAATATGGAGTGACATAAATATTTAAAAATTTACCTTTACTTTCCATACAACAGTTGATGTTTTATATGATTCATTGAAATATTTAAGGATTAGCAAAAAATGACATTTTTATGACCTAATGAATAATGACAACATTATGTCACCTGCATATTGTCAAATATGGCATACAATGATGAACAAAATATGGAGTGACATAAATATTTAAAAATCTACCTTTACTTTCCATAAAACAGTTGATGTTTTATATGATTCATTGAAATATTTAAGGATTAGCAAAAAATGACATTATAAAACCTAGATTACTAAATATGGAAGATAATGATGAACAAAATATGGACTGAGAGACATTACAGTTGTAAATGTGGTAAATTGGTGAAGTTTACACTGAAATTCCAACAAAACTGATGTTTTCAGTAACCTTTTTAATGATAAAACTGTGACTTTTAGGCAACACAAATTCTACCAACTCCTAAGTAAAACAATCTAGTTTCTAATAATGTCATTATTACTTTAACCAAATTTTCAATTTCTAGTTTGAAAGTTACAATGTCAATATTCCATACTTTGCACTACAGCCACCTTAAAACAAATATATAACAATTACTTACCCGTAATGAAAATGGCTGGTTAAAGTCGATCCTCATCATCCCGTAGTTACTGTTCAAAACGCTCCAGATCCCCTTAATAGCGCTACCAAAAGTCTCCATCTCCTTGGGCTTGCCTAACTGTTCCCTAATAAAATTACCGTCCACCAACTTTTCATAGTTCACGCTAATCGGTACGAGCAGAGCATCCTCGATCGTTCCATCCATGAAGGTGTCCAGAATGACACTAAGTATACCGTACTTGGGCATGCAGGGCTTGCCCGTTCTCGTCCGGCCCCCTTCGAGGAAGAATTCCATGTTGTGACCGGCCCGGAGGCAGTTGTTCATGTAGGTGTGCAAGACAGCTTTGTAGATGTAGTCTTTGCGCCCCATCGCCGGGTCCATGCGGCGTCTTATGAAAAATGCGCCCAAGCCTCTCAACAGAGACCTAAAAAGACGAAAGTCTCAAGAATTGAAATACAGGATGTCGTTTTAGTTTTAGTTAGTCGGTTTAATGACTCGGTTAATAGATATGAACGTGTTATATTACACTTGTGATGCGAAAATGTAACGATGGTAATTTTCACTTCACAAGAATACCATAACGTGGAAAAGGATATAAAAAGTGGGCAATTTCAGGGAAATCTGTTTCATTAAATGCAAAAAAGGTCAGCGTTATTACTAGAAAATGCTAGTGTAAGTGCCAATGGACTTATTTCTGCACAGATAGATCAGAAGCTTGTGGTACGCAACAATTAATAATTAACAAAACATGGTCAAAGCTATCGGCAGTGCCGCAAACATAATTTTATGTTTCAACAAAACTTACCCAAAGAATGGTATCCTCAGATTGTCTCCAGCAGCGACTAAGGGCGATCGGATGTTGTTATTAAGAAGAATAAAAGAAATTAGAATGTAATCCAGGTGAGACCTATGCAACGGCAAGAATATGACCGGGAGATTGGAATTTCCTGCTTTCTTCAACATTTCCACTTGCCCAGGATGAACCACAACTGAAGTTAGGAAGCACGAAAGTAATTTATATAACACCCACGATGTGAATCTGAAAATAAAAGTAGGTTAAAAATTATTAGCACCAAAATAGTATGCGGAAAAAGACTGATAGACTTGTCAGTTGAAAAAACTGTCACATAACCTAACTTAACCTCAAAATAATACATGCAAAACACTGTCGCACCTCAATAGGAAGTCCGAAAGCGTGGACCTCATATCGTAGAGTAACTTCCTCGCCCTTCTCTGATTGCCTTTCAAGAGCTGGCTATAAAACTCATCGTCGCTAATTTCCGAATCCTGGAACTGCTGAATGGTTGTCTTCTCGATTGCCCGTTTCAGTCTCTCGTCTTTCCAGACGAGATCTGCTACCTGAGGATAGTCGAACTTTTTAAGTTCGTAAACCTGATACAGATGCGAAAAGGTCCTGTGGAGGAATCCATTGCTGTGTTGGGGAAGCTGGTAGTTTAAGATGTTTCTTAAGGCTAAGGATTCTGTTGTTTTGCTGACTAGTGACTCCTAAAACAAAGAATAATTCTTTACTATTGTTAATTGAGTATTAAAAAGTTTTTAAATTTACTTGTGTACAAAAATTATCACTTTTTAGCTAATAATATTATGGGAAACAAGTACATGGCATATCTATCATTGAATTTCACTCCCACTACCTAATAAAAAATTAGATTGATTACAGATACCAAACACAAGAAACGTAGAATGTTCCTTATTAGTAAAATTTACTGTATTATAGGTATAAACTTTAAAAAACTTTAAAATTCAATACCAACATAATATTGCCAAAGGACATAAAAAAAGAATTAATTATTTCCTAAAATAAAAACAAATCTCAATTTAATTAACAACAAAATACAATTTTTAATAGGATTTACTAATAAAAAACTAATTGCAGCATGCGTGACTAATTAAAATAACATTATCTTTTAATTAGCAAACCTGTAAAAAATATAACCATATTTAAGTGTTCCATCTAAACAATTCAGAATAAAAAAGCAAAAATATTGAAAGAAAACCTGTTTTTCCAAAGCAAAATTTTTAAAGTAATATTCAAAATAATAACAATTGAAAAAATAGTGATTGAACTATTTTTTCAGACATATTTTAATAAAATCAGGATCAGAATGTTTCCGAATCTCAAATCAGTAGAATAGAACTCAAGCTCAAATAATTAACAAAAGGTAAAACCAATATTTTATTTAAATCAATTTAAAAAATAATTCCTTAGTAATCTACGAAAACAAACAGTCTAGTTTCTCTATAATGGAAAAAACAATATTTAAAGTATTTTTAAATAAATATAAACATAAAATCAAACAAAAAACTGAGCTGAGGAAAAAAAACATTAGGTATATTTTGCAAATTCCTTAAAGAAAGATCATCAGACTAATGTTTTTGAATCCAGAACAACATACTCTTGATCGTTCTGAACATATTCAGAATTTTTATCAGCTTCTAAAATTGGAAATTGCCAATAATTGTTTATATAATAATGTATTATGTATCTTAGTAAACACAGCGGTTGAAATTTTTCTTTTTCGTCTTTTGCCAAGTTTTCAGGAACAAAGTATGTAGTTATTTTTGTCATGTTAAAAAGCCAAAAATTCAAAAAAAAATGTAAATATCAGAAAATTTCCAAAACTAATACCACGTTTGAAAAGCAAATCAGTTGAATACCGTCCCAAAAAGTCCAGAGAATTCTAACGAAATTGAGAGATTCAAAATTGTATACCTATCTATCCACTGCCCCTCATCTCATAATCTTCACCCACTACTGAACCGCGTACCCGCGCTCGGCCGTTTTTGAGCATGTTTGGAGGAATTTTTCACCTGTTTCGCATCATATTTATCGGAAAATTAGAATATACTTTTTGTAATATCATACTTTTAAAATCCGGCTGAAAAATTAAAATCGAGAATCCAAAAAATTCGAATTGAAATTGTGCCAAAACTAATGGTCCGACAGAGCATGTTTTGTGCACATTTAAACTACATATAATTTACTAATTTTGTGCACAGGGTCAGCTCTACAACTTAAAAAATGGCAGAGTAATGAATTTTTAAAAAAACGCTAAATTTTCCGGGTTTTCTCCGCTTCTAATTATCCGATCAGATCGATCGACCTCTCGTTTTATTCGTATTTCGATTCTCTACAAATGGTCTTTTATAGCATTCAGATTGCTTCGTTAGTTTAGGTTTCACAAGCAAAAAACTAAAAAATGCGTTTTTTGCATAAAAACGTTTATAAAAAATTATATAATGGTAAATTGGAGTAGGAAACATATAAGCATATATCTACATACTGTCTTTTACATGATGGCACAGTCCGTTTGCTACTAGTATTTTTGTCACAAACAAAACCTCTATTGATTGGTCTAAATTGAAAATTTAACAGAAATGTCGACTTTTGATGACATTTTTCGAAAAAAGATTTTTTCCGTCGCATAATTTTTCTGGAAATTTTGAACCTTAGTCCTTTTAACACTATTAAGCCTGTTTTTGAAGTAATTGAGGCTGATTCTAGACTATCCAATAGGTGGCCGAGTATATCTGATAGTTTGAAAACAATGTCAAACTGTTGCAGAAACAAACCTATTGACAATAACGTGAAGTATTAGGTTAGGTGTGTAAAGACTGCAATGTTTTAATTTTAAAAGTTGCCAGTGACTTCTTGTATCAATCTGTAGAATTAAATTATTGACCTAATATACTAGCGTTCCCTATTTTAGGACAAAGAGAATTAAAAATTTACGATAAAAGTAGGTTAGTGTATTTTAAGTATTAAAGAAAAAATAAAATTGAAAGTAGACATATGTAAATCAAACTAACAGGTGTTAAAATAAACTATAAAAAATTACGGTCCTGCACTAAGGCTGGTCCTAATGGCCAAATAATACAAGTTATATCATACCCAAACTCATACTCGCATTTATGTAAATATCAATTATTTCCCCGAAATATTTTTATAGATATTATATCACTAGAACTGCGCACTTTCATTGTTCTTTCCTATTGTATAACAAATATTACGGAGCGGAACTGCTTTACAATTGGATTTTAAAGAAACGAAACGGATAGAAAGATTCTGTAGACGCTGGAATTTATCTACCGTAAATCGGCGTGAAATTTACAAAAAGCGCTGAAAAATAGAACCCACGGCAATTGAACTCGAATTGCGAAGTTAACGTTCATTGTTGAATCATTAAATATCTAATTGACCCGGTGAACTCACGCCCAAGCCCGAGAATTCAATTTAATCTAGGGTAACGTGTATAGGTACTAAATACGTAGATGTTAAAATAAATACGCTTATTTCAAGACATCGGAAATCCAAATCCAAATTTCTGCTTCCTTAAATTATTATTAAATACGTAATTTTAACTCGCCTCAAGCGAGACATGCCGTCAAATATTTACTTTAAATAGTTTTACGAAACGGAAAAATATATTCAGTGTAAATAAACGCGAGTTTATTTTTGCCAGTCAATAAGCGAATACGTATTTAACTCAATTCCTAGAATTTTGAAAGTAACACCTAGTATTGAAAAAATGATGTATACATATCTGAATATTTAAGCCGGAATTTACATATTTAACATATATTTTGCGCCACTAATTTCGATACCTTTCTACAGATATGATTTACTTCCATATTTACCTCACTTTCACCTAATTAGTGTCTATGCGGATAAAATAGTAAATAGTTATTAGAGAACAAGGTTATTTTACCCGTGAATTTTCGAGAAAACCTCGCCACAACATAGCTCGTACAGAAAGACTAAAAATAATAACAAACGAGACAAATCAAGAGGACCACGTGAGAACGCACCTGATATATTGCATGGATGGTAGCGACGATCTTTGGCGGCTCAGAATCTGTCGAACGTTCACATTGTCAGTGAAAACTTGGAGATATTGTTACAGTCGAAGAAGGACATTAATTATTGATTTAGTTTTATTGAAAACATGGACACACGTAGGCAGTTTCAGCGACGATGTGTTTAAAATAATTTGTTTAAATTCGACCTTTGCCAGCGGGTAGATTCAAGTAGTCGCAACCTTGACCCGCATATACCAGAGACGTGACATAAACCCTAAGCATTTTTACTATGTTCTGCTCAAATGGTGTTTAAGAAATCGGGACGCCTTAATCAAATATTAAAAATTAGCAATTAAATAAATACGAGGGAGACATTTTTGGGGGAAAATTTACGATATAAAATAATTTCACAACTTGATTGATTTTAAGAAGTTTAATAAAAAAAAATCGAAGTGCATGAAACAGTGTTCCGAATAGATATTTATTTGATAGTTCGGAAGAAACTGTTTTCCATGTTTTTCCGAAGAAAAAAATAGAAAAAATAGAAAATATGAGAAAGTTAAAAATGAAAAAAGCACTTATTGAAATTAAATTAAAATAACATATTTTATCAATAATTTATACAGGGCGTTTTCTAAGTAGTCCCAAAATATTTCAAGGTATGTTCGTCCAAATTATTTTATTAAAAAAAATGACTATATTGACATATATTCAAAAATGTCTTCTTTCCAAAATACAGGGTGTTCAAGTTTTCGTTTTTTTTTTAATTTCTTAATAAAGAAATGTTTTCTTTTATTCGAATTTTGAACGATTAAACTGCCTTTTAGAGGTTCGCATTGGTTATTACTTATTAGTCCAATTATTTTTAAAAACAATATGTACGTCACTAATATTTTTGATTTTATGACTTTTTTATGTAGCTTTCGTTTATTTTCTGGAACATGTCTTTCATTTGAATGATCGTATGATCAATAAAAAACTCGTAATAATCTTTTAAAATATAAAAAGTTTGTTTATTATTCATTTATTTTTAAAGTCAAACTTATCTCGTTTAACATCCCATTGCTTTTGAACTTCTATATCAAATAAAATTCTTAGAACATGTGTTAATATAATTTTATAATCTTTTTATTTAAAAAAAAATAGCATATTTCTTCAGAACTACGTTCCAAATTAAAAGAATACAGACTGCCATTTTATGTCAGGTAAGGAGAGAGGAACATAACATTTGAAGTATCAGTGGTGTACATATTAATTTTTAAAATAATTGGTTAAAATATTGTTTACACCTACGCCCCTGGTGAAATTAACGAATTTTAGTTTACACTAAAACACAATATAAAAATATTTAAAAAAACAGAAAGGTATTTTGAAAGGATGCAATTTTGGATATATGTACAAACTTATATTAATTTGAATTTTTTTTTTAATAATTTAAAGCATCACGCTCTGAAATATTTTAGACTACTTAGGAAACACCCTGTATATTCTACATCGAGATAGCCTCAAATTTTAATTTATAGAACTGGAGTAAATATTAAGGAAAAGTAAATATATGTATTTTATTTAAAACAAAAAAAAGAAACAACATTTTAATTTTTCATAAACAAACAACGAAAACAAACAAAATTTCAGTTCTCTATAACTAAAAGTTCAACATTTAAAGCATTTTTTAACTAAGTTTCAAAATAAAAGCAAACTAGAAAAACGAGCTCAGAAAAAAAACATTTAGAAAATTGAGTTAAAGGAAGATTCTAAGTTTGATGCTTCTGATTTCCAGCCGTTGATAATATAAACATATTTAGAATTTTCGCTTCTAAGAGTAGAAATAATCTGATTTTTTGTTGAAATAGTTTCTAACGGTTATTTTTTATACAGGCTGATTCAAAATTCAGTACAAACAATTTAGGGGCGTATTTTTGAGGTCAACAAAAGACTTTTTTGTCCTATAAGCGTGGGTCCACAAAGGCTTAGTTTAACACCCTGTATATCGAAAACTAAGCATTTGTGGGCGCACGTTTATAGGAAAAATGATTTTTATTTTGACCTATATATATTTATGTTTGCAAACGTGGTGGCTAGGACCTTTTATATCTTAAATTTTAACGGAAATACCGTCTAAGTCAAAATTTATCTGGTGATAGAGCTCTCAAAGTAAGAAAAAATTCCTATAAATGCTAGGTGTATGAAAAATTTAATTATTTTCAAAACGCCTAAAAATAAACCGTGAAAATTTACACAGGCTTTTTTCGGAAACAATATTTTTCTTTTTTTTTTAATATTTAACATTATTAAAAAAATATGGATTTTTGCGAAAAAAACATTTAACATCAATTAAAAAAAAATTAAAGATTTATTCTTTACTTTACTGATTTTTAGCAAAAGTTACAATTTTAACGATTAGGATCACAATGAAAGAAAAATCGCAGAGGTATGAACTGTTAAACATTTCTTTGGGATACTTTAAGGTTAAAGAAACTGAAAATCTCTTCATTATTTGTAAAGTTATCTCAAGTTTAGCGAAAATTCTAAAACACGCAATTTTTTACATTTTTTGATTCAAGTTTCTTGTCCGAAAATTTTTTATTTTATTTTCAAAAAACGATAAGAACATCTCATAGAGGATACTTTGATGTTTCCAAAACCCTGCTTAGATTTTCTGTACGATCACTAGTTCCTGAATAATTAATTCATCAAAGCCAAAAAGGTCGTTTTGCTTTAAACGATCACAACTCAACGACAAATCATCGTACAAAGCTCATGATCACCTAAAATTAATGAGGATATCAAACTGAAAGAGCTGACAGGTGGGATTGCCAAAAAAAAATTATTGAAACCCGTGAACGTTTTGAAAAGGAAGCAAAAATTTTGATTTTTTGTTTTCGCTGGGGACGTTGAAAATTTTTGACTTTCAAATCCTGAAACAAGAAACTTTCAGAACCTGAAACTAGAAACTTCAAGCTTCGATTTGCTTTTTTTATTGCTCTACGACTATTTTTCGCCAACTCAACCTTCTGAAAATCACATAAAAATTTAGATTTTTTTTATTCTTAAATTTTTGTCACTGGTTTTTGTAAACTTTTATTTGTTTGCCCTTAGACAACATTTTGAACAACTTTTTCGGGAATTTCAACATGTTTATGAAATTTTTTCTTATTTTCAAAAGTTCTGTCACCAAAAAAAATATAGCCTACGCAATCGGGCCAATATGAGTACATGTACGTGTTATTTCAAGAGCGAATTCCTTACCCGACTAGTTAACGTGCAATTTTGACAGCACAGTCCCATAAACGGCCTTTTCTTGGTAGTATGCACTTCAGGGGCGTGCTCCTTTATATCGAACAGCTGCGCCTCTCTGGCCTGGAAAACAAAAAAATATATATATTGAAACATATTTATGTCATAATAATATTTTGCTGTCCTTTGGAAATTTGACACCAATAAAAATGTCAGGAAAAACACTGTACTGTCATCGATATACCTTGTCCCCTGTATAAAACCTCTGCATTTAATTCTTTATCAACGATATATATTAACTTATCTGGGAAAGACAACATTTCTAACGGAACTGACTACTAAAAGATAACGCAGATTAAATTATAATCAATACTGCAAACCTTTGGTTTCGGAATCGAGGTTTTGTTGTTCACATTTCTTTTGAACAGCAACGATTGCAACTGCTTACACATTTTCAGCAACATTCACTGAATATATGATCGGTGATTCAGACTAGTTTGGATTTACGATTAGGCAAGCACACGATCATGAAGAGAAAGTATACGAGAAGTTGTAAGGTTACGGATAAGGTTGATACATATTTGATGTCAATTTTGTATCACTTTGACATAAATTATACTTTATTGGATTTAGTTGACGAATTTCTTTTAGAAAATGAGTAGAACATATTTTAATTTTATGCTGGCCTAATTTTTTTAAGCGGCAATATTAAATCGTCAATAAAAATTACGTTAACATTCATGTTTGGTAGGAACAGTAAAATCAAATGTTTGAAATTCATTTCTGTACTCTCATCTATAAAGCGTGAGTATTTCCTACTAAATTCAAAATTGCGAATAAGTGTATACATTTTAAAAAATGTCAACCGTATAAACAGCAATATTGTGCAACACGAAATTCAACCTTCATATATTATGATGACGAGACACATGACAGTCGAGCTTAGACAACCAACATTGCATGACTGGTACTGTCAACTAAAAAATCCTAAATCTTCGCATCATAAATATTGATCATTCATTTATAATGAATAATAACAAACCGTTATGTCTACGATTGAAATAATTGTGTGTTTTAATAGTTTTTATCAAAATTTAATAGCCAATGCGAAGAAAATTGTATTGTTAAAACAAAATTAGGCTCTGTAAATTATAGTCCAGTCGGCAAAAGCCCGAAAAAACGTGATTGTAGCCATTTTCCATAAATCCCAATTTTTTTCACAAATCGGCTACAAATATGTTATAGAACAACTCATTAAAATGCTCAAGCGCTACATAGTGAGGAAAAAATGTTATTAACAATTTCCGTTGCAAAAAATGCTTGTTTGTTTGTTTTTCTTCAATATCTCTGTTGGATCGAAAAATCGCGAAGATAAATCAAGAAACCATTTTTGTTCTAAGTGAAATTTTTTTTAAGATGGCATTGCACCATTTTTTTATATCAAAAATAATTTTGGAATTTTCAGAGAATAGCAAAAATGTTTTACAATGTACATGTACAGTAACACTGTATAATTTCTACTTAAGCAATTTTCTTTGCAACAATGGCTAACACATTTTATACTAAAGAATGTTTTCAAGTAAACTTTTGTAATACTTCAATCGAATTAGTTTAAACGTGAAAAAATTATTAGTAGACATTTTATTGCATTTTATGACATGGAAGTGATAATATCAAAAAAGTAACACGAAAGAAGTGACGCTAAGTTGGCAAATTGCAATTAAGTTGCAAATTTTCGGGTTTTTTCACTTTTTTTACTGCCCACGAAAATCTAGAGGACCTATTGGAAAATTTGTCATTTTATGTTGTAGGCAATTAAATTACCTACAATTTAAGGTATCTAAAGCCACATTTCACCAATTTGTTAACTGTAAAATAAAGGTCGAACGTGGCAAAGTCAGTTTTCAAAAACTGCGCATTATTATTGCAAAAAGAGATTGATGTTGATGACATTTGTGGAAAAGACGGTCAATTCAAAGACCAACATGTGTGTTTTATTATAGACTTTATATTTATGGATTGGACGTTTTGGTCCTGTGCCGTGGCTAACTCGGTCACCCGATCTAACTCCAATGGACTTACCACTTATTTCAATCTGCATCAAATAAATAATAGTCCACAGTACAGGCCCCCCCTGGAAAGTTGATTACCACATACTTTATAACTCCTGAGGCGCATCCTTTTGACGAGTCTACCACATTTTTCCTCTGCGACTTTACTCCATTCCTCCGCTTTTCCACTCGGAAAAGTCCAAAAACATGGCAATTTCCCGGGGTCTTGAAAAGTCAAGACCACATCTTTTATTTTTAGCTTAAGTAACTGGAAATTTTGTTGCAAATGCCGATTTAAATTTGTCCGACAGAAATTCTTCCGACACTGACGTGTCTACCGGTCGAAACATGCCAAAATAACAGGGTATTGAAAATCAATTACCACATATGTAATTTTTAGTAAAATTAATTGTAAATAATTAATTCAGTCAAAAAGTATTGTTGTCCGACAAATTTCAAGCCGCGTTTTTTCAGTCCGACAGCTGGAAATCGGAATTTTCACGGGGTATGAAAAATCGATTACCACATATCTAATTTTCATTTTTTCCACTTTTAAATTTACTGTACAAAATAGTGATATAAGTGTCCGACGATTTAATGTCCGCAAATTATTAAAAAATCAATAAATCAATAATCGTGATGAAATTTAATTCCAAAAATTTCATATTTATAAATGGTTATTAATTATTATTATGTAAATTATTATTTGTTTCAAATAAATAATTATAACATTGCTTATTTTATGCTTAAAAATTTAAAAGTTGTTAACAAATGAAGTCATTTTTGAGACGATTAATACTATCTTAGCGCATAATGCATTATTTCTGAATAAATTAATATTATACTTGATATAAGAATTCGTTTTTCTCTTTCAAGTTTTCATTCGCGTTTGTTATTTTCCTTTACAAAAATTTTCCTATTTTTCTAAAAGAAAATCCCAAAACTTTTGTGCATAATTTTTTTACACCATACATATTTTTTTGAAATCGTTTAATTCTTTTCTCGATATTTATTTGGCTAAATTGAGCATAAGAGATTTACAATTACAGGAATAAAACGAAAAATATATACAGAGTGTTTCAGAAAGACCTCCCGTAAATAAAGGGGGTGATAGTACGACAAAAAATGAGAATTGTTTGTCTTATGAACTATATGTCTATCTCCTCTTGTTTTCGAGATACAGACAAAATAAAAATTTTGAAATAGAATTTTTAAGAAAATTTCCAAACGGTGCTAAATATTTTTATGAAATTTGGTAGTCCGGGGTTTTTAAAGTTGCCAAATACGATAGTCTAATTATTTTTTGTGTATTTCATAGAGGGCGCTAGTTATGCTACATTCTTATTACATTTTAAGTTCAATTTTTTTTAAGGTTAGGTTTTTTACCATTCGGGCTCCAATTTCTATTGTACAATTTTATTTTCTAAAAATAATGTTCTCTTGTTAGAACTTCCTAATGTGGACGATTTTTGAGAAAACAGGCTTTTAATTAAACTCTTACAATATTACACTATAAAATAAGCGACTTTTCTCAAAGTAAGCTTGAGCTTCTTATTATTCTTATTTTTTGTCGTCCTCACCTCCTGTATTTACGAGAGGTCTTTCTGAAACACCCTGCATTGTATATTTATATGGAATTTTGCTTAATACCTGAAAATAGCTTATTAGAAATTAATAATACATGTGCACATTTTTTTACGAAATTTTTTTCATCATTTTTTGTCGGACTGACGATTTGCGGACATTACAATTGTTGCTTATAAAAAAACACTTTTCTATCGTATGTTATTTTTGTCCGACATGTGGAAATCGATATATCATACCCCGTGAAAATTCCTATTTCCAGCTGTCGGACTGAAAAAACGCGGCTTGAAATTTGTCGGACAACAATACTTTTTGACTGAATTAATTATTTACAATTAATTTTACTAAAAATTACCTATGTGGTAATTGATTTTCAATACCCTGTTATTTTGGCATGTTTCGACCGGTAGACACGTCAATGTCGGAAGAATTTTTGTCATTGCCATGTTTTTGGACATTTCCAAGTGGAAAAGCGGAGGAATCGAGAAAAGTCGCAGAGGAAAAATGTGGTAGACTCGTCAAAACGAAGCTCCTCAGGAGTTATAAAGTATGTGGTAATCAACTTTCCAGGGGGGGCCTTGTACTGTGGACTATAAGATAGGATGTGGGCACGTTTTATGTATGTTTATTTTCTAGTGGAATATTTTCATTAAGATTAATAAAAATAGACGCAAAGTGGTGCATGACAAATGACAAAAAGATATTTCCACTGAGCCATGATAAGATAACACACTGTTTCACGCGGGGTAAAGTTAAAGTAGACCGATTCCTTTGTGACCAAACGGACCCTGAACTCCGATAAAAGCAAAATCTGTTGATACATAAAAGTACCTCGTCCCCTTTGAGTGTAAATAAATACAAATAAATTTCCAAGTGCTTTATAAATATCGGTACAGATCTCGGTATCAAAAGATTTGTATTTCGTTTGCTGTGTTTGCTTTCTTATCTCGGTTTAGAAGAGGTTATTTTTCTACACGAAATAATTATTGAACCCTTTTAAGAATATCCGTACCCCGAAAATAAATACCTGAAGAAACATTAATAAGTTTTTAATAAACATTTTGTGTTCGCAAATAACTGTTGACCTAAAGTTTCGTATCGCATTTTATGGTTGAGAAAAATTTTTTTTTATTAAAAATAAAACATGAATTCGTTTATTATTCTTTTCTCGTAAACGGTTCATTTTAACGACAATACACAAGAGTACCTTTATTTAGTCTAAGGTTAAAGCTACCCAGATTTATTATTTTAAAGTTTTTATCACTATTTTAAAAGGTCCTTACTAGTGTCCATCACATAAAATTTTTATTAAATTTTATTAAGTACTTTTAAAGTTATTCAAGAAAAACCGATTTCCAGCGGCGTCCTCCAGGGACACATATCTCCGTAGGGAGGGACTGTACGAAAAAATTTTAGAGGAACTTGTCATCTTATTTTTTCATGTTCTATCTGCACCCGAGAGATTTCCCACATTTTCGCGGACACTCT